GGTTGTTCTTCTGGGACTGTATTCCAAGACATGCTTGGGTGCACGTGAGCGCCATCATGTCTCCCTAATTTCTGGGAAAAACTTGAAGGCAAGTCCAGCGGCTAATTTGGATGGGATTTCCTGCTACGGCTTGGGCTCTTTTGAATGTTATAAACAAAGCTTTGATAGAAAGCAAATTTATTAGACATCCAACTGACAGAAAAAAACTACGTTTCTTCCTTGTAAGCCGGTATCCCCAGCAAAACTATGTCGCTTTCAGCCGGCTTTATAAAAAGGTTGTTAATTAGCAGGAGTGTCTGGTACTTTCTTAGTCTGAATCCTCGAGTCAAAAAGAGTCAGTCAACAGTCTACAAGGATGAAGTGACCATTTAGCAATCGTCAGGACCCCGCGTCTCTAGTTGACTCTGCAGAACAATCTTCACCTTTCAGTGTACTTCTTTCAAATGATCAAATCGCTCGATGCCCATCCGTGTAACGACGATGATTAGTACCTTGAGACATACTATCATCCAATGCGTCTTATACTACCTTTCCCAAATAATCCAACAGCAACCTGACAAGGGACAACTTGCTAGGAATCCCATATTTTTAGTCCAAGTGGAGTGCCAACAACCGCTTCCAGCTGATTCAGGGGTCGCCGGCAAGCACATAATCCAAATTAATCACGCGCTCATATGCACCTGCCCTGTTGATTTCCACATTACCGTTAAATTGGAAGCATGTGTGCTAACATATTAATTGCCAGAGATAGTACGCTCCGAGTTGCAGATATCATCTGCTTTGGCTGGATAGGACCCCAACCAAACCATTGTTCTATGTCCTGGAAGCTAGCTCATGACTTGCAACAATGACTTGCAGATATCATTGCTGGAAGCCTGGAACAATGACTTGCAGATATAAATATTGAGTTTCAGGCAGATTTTCCAGAAGGTCCAAAATCCATTATGTTCTGGTGTTGCATACCTTACCTGCTCCTCCGTCCGTAGCATCCAGCACGGTTGCATTGCCGCCCATTATGATATCATAGCCTGTTGCTCCAATCCCCTGCCATTTAAATTTTAAAGTGAGTGAGGTACTGCAACACACCCCGTAATTAAACATCCTCTTGCAAAGCTAGAGCTTCCATCGATCTCGATAGCTGAGTAATGGTGTCTTCGGGTGCCTTCTTGTTTCCGGGCCGCTGTCGATTTCTCTACCTCTTCTTGGGTTTCTTCTGCAGCCTGCCATTACTAGGCATCTGCGATGAATCAGAGAGCGACAGGCAAGCCCTCCTTTGCTTCAAGTCCGGGATCTCGGCAGCCGCCGGAGTTCTATCTTCATGGAGCAACGCGTCCATGGAGTTCTGTGACTGGCACGGGATAACCTGCAGCGTGACACCACCCAGGCGTGTCGTCGCGCTGGACCTTGAATCCCAAGGTATCTCGGGCTCCATAGCGCCTTGCATCGCCAACCTCACTTGGCTGGCAAGGCTCCAGCTGTCCAACAACAGCTTCAGTGGTGGCCTACCGTCGGAGCTTGGCCTCCTGAGCCGGCTCACCAACCTGAACCTCAGCATCAACGCTTTGGAAGGTAACATCCCGCCTGAACTCTCTGCGTGTTCCCAGCTCCAAATCGTGGGCTTGTGGAACAATTCCCTCCATGGAGAGATCCCACCCACCCTCGGCCAATGCAAGTGCCTTCAAGAGATTAACCTTAGGAATAACAAGCTCCAGGGAAGTGTCCCTCCTGCTTTCGGAGACCTTCCTGAGCTGCGCATACTAGTCCTCGCCAGCAACACACTTACCGGCAACATACCGCCGTCTTTGGGCAGCAGCCGCCATCTCACATATGTTGATCTTGGGATCAATGCTCTCGGAGGGGTCATACCGGAGTCCTTGGCAAATAGTTCATCTCTTCAAGTACTTAGGCTCATGAAGAATAATCTTACTGGAGAACTCCCAAAGGCTCTCCTCAACACTTTGTCACTTGTTACCATTTGCCTCGAAAAGAACAGTTTTGTTGGTTCGATACCTTCTGTCACTGTCACATCTTCCCCTATTAAGCACCTCTCTTTAAGGTTTAACAATCTTTCAGGAGGAATACCTTCCTCGCTAGGGAACCTTTCGTCCCTAGTTCATCTTCTTCTTACAGACAATCATTTAGTTGGGAGCATCCCAGAGAGCTTAGGTTATGTTCCAACACTAGAGATATTGACCTTGACTATGAACAACTTATCTGGGCTGGTTCCACCGTCTATCTTCAACATGTCATCCCTGAAAAGTCTTGCCATAGCACAAAACTCACTTGTCGGCAGATTACCCTTTGACGTCGGCTACACCCTCCCAAATATCCAGGACTTAATACTCACAGAAAACAGTTTTGATGGACCAATCCCAGACTCTCTTCTCAAAGCTTACCACCTACGCTGGCTTTACCTGAATAATAATAGCTTCACTGGATCCATACCATTTTTCGGCTCATTGCCAAATTTGGAGGAACTCGATTTGGGACACAACAAGTTAGATGCAGATGATTGGGGCTTTGTCTCTTCACTATCTAATTGCTCCAGGTTGACCATGCTGGCCCTGGATGGGAACAATCTCAAAGGGAAATTGCCAAGTTCTATTGGCAATCTTTCAGATAGTCTTGAGTGTTTGTTTCTAAGTAGCAACAAAATTTCAGGACCTGTACCGCTGGAGATTGGCAACCTTCAGAGCCTCAGTAGCTTGTACATGAATTACAATCTTCTCACCGGTAATATACCGCCAACAATTGGGAAATTGCACAGCTTGGTCTATCTATCCTTTGCAAAAAACAGGCTTACAGGTCCGATTCCAGATACTGTTGGCAATCTTGTCCGACTGAGTATGCTGGAATTGGATTATAACAACTTAAGTGGAAGAATTCCTGCAAGTATAGCACGATGCACTCAACTCGCCATACTCAACCTTGCTCACAACTCACTAGATGGGCGTATACCAAGTGGAATCTTCAAAATCTCTACGCTTTCTGAAGAGTTGGACTTGTCAGACAACTTCTTGTCCGGAGGAATGCCAAATGAAGTTGGCAATCTCATTCATCTGCAGAAAATTAACATGTCAAATAACAGGTTGTCCGGAAACATTCCATCATCCCTCAGCCAATGTGTTGTTCTGGAGTATCTTGGGATGCAAGGCAACTTCTTTGCAGGAAGCATTCCACAATCATTTGCCAACTTAATCAGCATAAAACAGATGGATGTTTCTAGGAACAATTTGTCTGGAAAAATACCAGAGTTCCTCAAATCCATGAAATCACTGCAAGACCTCAATTTATCCTTCAACCATTTTGATGGAGCAGTTCCCACAGGCGGTGTTTTTGACATCACTGGAGCAGTGTCAATCGAAGGAAATTATCAGCTGTGTACAGGCATCCCAACGAGAGGTATGTCTCTTTGTTCAGAAGTGGTTGACAGGAAAAGAAAGCAGAAGCTACTGATTGTAGTTCTATTGCCAACTGTTGTTGCCACTGCAATCCTTTTCTCCTTTATTGCAACAATTTGTCGGAGGAAAAGGATGAAAGCCAATCCCCATTTGCAACATGACAATGAGCAGATAAAGATAGAGAAGATATCATATGAAAAGGTATCATATAAAGACTTGGTAAGGGCAACTGATAGATTTTCTTCAGCAAACTTAATTGGTTCTGGATCATTTGGAAGGGTTTATAAGGGCAATCTGCAGTTTCAAGAAGATCAAGTTGCCATCAAGATTTTTGATCTTGACATTTATGGGGCACATCGGAGCTTCATAGCAGAGTGTGAAGCCCTAAGAAATGTTCGCCATCGGAATCTTGTAAAAATCATTACCTTATGCTCTTCAGTGGATCATAATGGGGCAGATTTCAAGGCCCTAGTGTTCCCATACATGCCAAATGGGAACCTAGAAATGTGGCTACATCTAAAAGACCCTGAAAATGGTGAAAGGAGTATTCTGACTTTAAGCCAAAGGACTAACATAGCCTTGGATGTAGCACTTGCTTTGGATTATCTTCACAACCAATGCGCACCTCCAGTTATACATTGCGACTTGAAGCCAACCAATATCCTTTTGGGTCTTGACATGGTTGCGTACGTCATTGACTTTGGCCTAGCAAGATTCTTGTTCAGGACAGAAAATGCACATCAAGATAGTTCAGCAACTTTGAGCCGCTTAAAAGGAACCATAGGATACATCCCACCAGGTGAGATAAGCTTATTTGCAAGATATTGGTTCTGTTTGTTCCTTGTGGAGTTGTACAAATAATGGTGATTGTTTAATTGTATTGTGTTTTCAAATGTAAATGCAGAGTATGGAATGAGCGAAGAGGTATCAACCAAGGGTGATGTCTATAGTTTCGGAGTGCTTCTGTTGCAACTGATAACAGGGTGCAGTCCAACTGAAGAAAAATTTAATGATGGTATAAGCCTTCATGAATTTGTTGATAGAGCATTCACAAAGAATATTCACGAGGTTGTTGACCCCACAATGCTACTTGATAACAGCAGTGCAACTGACATGATGAAGAATTGTGTTATTCCACTTTTAAGAATAGGCCTCTCTTGCTCCATGAAATCAGCCAAAGAGCGGCCAGATATGACTCGAGTTTCTACCGAGATCCTTAGAATAAAGCACATGGCCTCATACACATGCATGTCAGATGAAGCAAAGAATTGGCAGGAAAGTAGCTAGCAACAGAAGTTCATGTAAAGAATAGTATAATGTACTATCTTGTTTTTTCCTTTCTGAATCCAGTTTTGAGTCATTTCAGAGGTAGCTAATGCATCCATGTCAAATGGCTTTGCACAGCTTTGTTTCTGCTAATGTATGTTTTTCAAATCTATACAAAATAGGAAACATGTCCTTTTAAGTTTTAATTTACAGCAAAGTATCTACTCATACATGGCGAAGTCAGGAGTGAAAGGCATAAATGGCACCTAAATATCTTATGTGGACAAGCAAGTTTCACTCAAGTAGATGACTCAACAAGAGCTCAAACGTAAATCAGTGTTCCAAACCTGACTGTACAATGAAATTCTGAAACAAGGACTTCAATTCAGCACACAGATCTCCCCTTCCCATCTTGTGCAAACCTTTGGACACTGTAACATAAGCAGAATGGTCAGGCCTGAGGCCCTTCTCCATCAACTCATACAGGACACTTCCAGCCTCGACGATCCTCCCCGACCTGTGCAACAGCTTGACGAGCAGGCTGTAGTTCCTGTTGGTGGAGTGTGAATCCCTGGTGCTCATAGCCCTCACATAATCGCAAGCATCTTTGATTCTCCCAGTATAGAAGTACCCTTTGATGAAGGCTGTGTGGATTGTAATCCTCGGCGTCAGATTTTCTGAGAACAACTGATCGAGAATCTGCCTTGCCGAATCCATCTTCCCCGCCTTGCAGGCATGGTATGTGAGGATCTCGTACGACAGTGAGTTTGGGATGTCGTCGTGTCCCGACCTCTCCATGGTCTCAACGAGGTCGCACGCTTCGGTGGCCCTGCCATTCTTCAGCAGGCACCCGAGGAGGTAGTTCCAGGAGTTGGCATTTGGGCCGCAGCTCCCCTTCCTCATTTCGTCGAACACCTCGCGGGCGCCCCGGAAGTCACCAGCCTTGCACTTGGCAGCCAAGAGGACGTTGTGGTAGCTCGCTCTCCTGGCCGTCTCCTCGATCACCCAGACGGCCGCGTCGAACTCGCCGATCGAGGCCAACGCCTTGACCAGCGAGAACACGCCGGACGCGCGGCACGGGCCACCGGCACCATCCAAAACCGTCAGAGTCGCCCTCACCGCGTCATCCACGCTGCTCGCAGATGAGGACGACCTCGCGGCGGCCTCCAGGAACAAGAACGCCTGCTCGGTAAGGGGGAGCCGTCGCGCCGACACTAGGTCGAGGGCGCGGACCATGGTGGGGTAGTCGGCCAGCCTGCCGGCGTTCTGGACGAGCAGGTTGTGGGCGCGGGCGCTCGGGGGGACGCCCCTGTGCCGGGAGAGCCATGCGAAGAAGCGGAACGCGGGGACGCCGCGCTCCGTGAGCGCGCGGAGCGCCGCCGACACGGCGGCGTCGGAGAGGGGCGGGCCGAGGCGGTCCAGGTCCGCCTCCAGGCTGCCGCCGTCGCCGCCTGCCGCGACGAGGCTGACGATCGCATTTGAGGTGGCGGCGGTGGTGGCGTCGCTGCTGCGGAGATTTGAGGGGCTCGAGGAGGTCGCGCCGCCGGCGGAGACGGCGCGGTGGAGCCGCCGGGGGATGAGACGAGACATGGGTGCGGCCCGAGTCGGGCTGGAACTGGACTGTTTGAACGCCAATCTGGGCCGTGAAAGGCTGGCCGAACGGTTCCTATGGCGCTTAGAAAATAAGCTAGGAAAAATGAGATTTTTGGTTTTAGCCGAGGAAAATGAGATTTTAGAAAGCCAACGTTCAGCTCAGTGACAAGTTCAGGATATGTTTAATTAGAAGTTTAAAACAGGTGTTCGAAGCTATAGTGTAGTCCATGTACAAAAGATTAGATTAGGTCACCATATTCTCCAAGGCCTCCCATTTTAGTCTCCAAGACTTGACTTTGAAATGTTTTTCTTATTTTCCTATCTTATGCCGCTTCATGAATATTGTATTACTCATGTGAATCGTAGCCAAAATAAATGTAGTGACAGTATAGCTAAGTTTGCCCAGTTAAAGGGCAGAACCATGACTTGGTTAGGCTCAGGCCTCCAGATGCTATGGAGCTACCTGTGATCGATTGTATGAACCTTTCGAGCTGTAATTGATTGTATGAACCTTTCGAGCTGAGTAATACATTATATTCACTAGTAAAAAGATTAACTTTTCTCAATTGCATGGAACATTGAAGATAGATCTCGAAAAAGAAAAAAATATATCCATCCTTGGTTCAAACAAAAGATCACCTTTTCTACTTGTCATTGAAACACTTGTGTAGTGTAATATAAAACATCATAATGGATTGTTGGACCAGAGCTCAAGTCCCGTTGACTCAAATTTGGCTAACTCTTAACAATTTCACGTAACGACATATAGAATAGGCATAAATGAATCATATCAATCCCACACATGAAATGGAGATAACCAAATATCACAGAGATAGAGCCAAGGAAAATCATATTGATAATATCACAAAGATACGCAAATAAGATGAATGATTAAACCAGTCTTGATCTCAAGATTAGTACAAATAGAGCCACAAACCTTAACTTGCAACTTGGAATTCCTCTCCCTATGGTGCTGTTGCTATGAATGGAAATGAAGATGGGTGGAAAAGGAATGGATCTCTGGTGGTTCTTCTTCTTGAGATCTCTTCTCTCTCTATTCTGGACGATGTGACGGCACCTCTGTCTCTGAAGTATGTTGTGCCTTCACGAAAGTGGCATCTGTAGATGAGGTCGTGGCGGCTCCAAGTGGTCCATTTTATCTAAATTAGGTTTGAACTTAAGTGAATTCCATCGCGTTTGCTTGAAATTCGTCCAGTTTCTTCAAATCCGCCTCGAAATGTATATGAGCACAATTGGATGGTCGGCTCTCGTATCACTGTCCGCTGACACGCCCGTTCATACCCGCGGACAAATACAGTATCCGTTTGAGGGTATGTGTTAAAGATGCCTTAAACATCATGTAGTATATACTAAGGATGCGCATCTGACCAATGTGTGCGCTGGATCGGCCGCTCGATCCCGATCGTTTTTCATCAATGTAATATTACAGCGATGGAACATACTTTATATTGGTTGAGGTTTGCTTAAACTAGACCAACGCTCAGTTAATCGACCCGGACGAAGAATTACTTATTTTCACCTCGGATCATTATTATAAATAATTATAACATGAGTAAACACTAATAGAAAAGGGGGCATTGGTCCAGACCGGGTCATCCCATTAGTCCCGGTTCAATCCAGAACCGGGACCAGTGGGGGCATTGGACCCGGTTCGTGAGCCCCGGGGGCCGGCCGGGCCACGTGGGCCATTTGTCCCGGTTCATTTGGACCTTTTGGTCCCGGTTGGTGGGACGAACCGGGACCAATGGGCCTCGCTCTTGGCCCACCACCATTGGTCCCGGTTGGTGGGACGAACCGGGACCAAAGGCAGCCCATTAGTCCCGGTTGGTGGCACGAACCGGGACTAAAGGGGTGGACCTCGTTGCGGCCAGAGTTTAGTCCCACCTCGCCAACCGAAGGGGGCTCACACCGGTTTATAAGCCCCTCCCTCTCTGCCTTGTTGAGCTCCTCTCAAAGTGAAAATAGATGCCCTTATACAGGGAATTTGACCTAAATTCATATTGAATTTCTCTGAAGTTACTAGAAATTTATTATGAATTTAGATCTAATTTTCTCTATAAGCGCATCTATGCTCATTTCTGAGTAGTTTTTTATATAATTTTTTTCTTTTCTGCTATATTTATTTTTTTCTATTTATTTCTGAGTTGTAATAAGTCATTAAAAATAAAAAAGATTTTAGTAAAGTTAATCACAACTATTTTTTCTTCTATTTATTTCTGAGTAGTTTTTTATATAGTTTTTTTTCTTTTCTGCTATATTTATTTTTTTCTATTTATTTCTGAGTTGTAATAAGTCATAAATAAAAAAGATTTTAGTAAAGTTAATCACAACTATTTTTTCTTCTATTTATTTCTGAGTAGTTTTTTATATAGTTTTTTTTTTGCTATATTTATTTTTTCTATTTATTTCTGTGTGGTAATAAGTCATTAAAAATAAAAAAGAGGCGCAATGCTAGTTAATTCGCTTCAAGCCTTTCGGAATAGTGTAAACTGCACTACACATAGCTCCGTGCAGTCTACCCTATTCCTCAAGGCTTGAAGCAAACCAATGTGCAGGTGAGCATTGAGCCTCTTCTTCATCGTCTCTGTACTCAGGGCTTATAAACAGCTGCGAGTGCCTCTCACTTGGCGAGGTAGAACTAAAAAAACAGCTGCAGAAAGAATCAACTAAAAAATAGCTGCAGAAAATAAATAAGTAATTAGACGGGTCCATTGATACCGGTTGGTGGCTCCAAACGGGACAAATGTCCCTCTTTAGTCTTATGGTTCGGCCCTCGTGATACCATGCCAACTTTCAACTTTCAACTTTTTCAGAGTTGATTTGAAATGCTTTAATGCAGAAAACAAAAGAAAATAAATAATGCAGAAAACAAAACAAAAAAATTGGAAAAAATAAATAAAGCAAAAAGAAAACAAAAAAAGTGTATTCAAATTTGAAAACTAATGACACTAACAGAAAGTTTATAATTTTTCTAAAACTAAAAGCAAAAAGAATTAAAAAATAAAGCAAAAAACAAAAGAAAATAAATAATGCAGAAAACAAAACAAAAAATCTGGGAAAAAAATAAAAATAGCAACAATAAGTATTTTGTTGTAAGTAGAAACAAAATAAAATAAATAAAGCACGAAACAAAACAAAAAAACAAAAAAAGTGTTTTCAAATTTGAGAACATTAGGCACTAACAGAAAGTTTAAAATTGTTCTAAAACTAAAAGCAAAAAGAATTAAAAAATAAAGCAAAAAAACAAAAGAAAATAAATAATGTAGAAAACAAACAAAAAATCTGGGAAAAAAATAAAAATAGCAACAATAAGTAAAGACAAAAAAGTGCCTCCTACTGGGCCCCCACGGCCTGAATACGACTAGAAACCCACCATGGGCCAGGATTCAGGCCCGCGGGTGGCCCAGTAGGCCCATCAGGCAACACGGTAGTAAGTAGGCCCATAAGCCTGCAGTGGAGAGGAGCTCGAGAGGGGTGCGGCAGTGAGGGCTTATAAACCACTGCGTGTCCCTCTCAGCTAGCGAGATGGGACTAAACTTTCGTGCCGCATCGTGCCAGCACACGACCATTGGTCCCGGTTCGTGGCACCAACCGGGACCAATGACCCCCTTTAGTCCCAGTTGGTGGCACCAACTGGGACCAAAGCCCTCTACTTCCCGCCCTTTGGGCTGCTGAAAAGTGACCTTTGGTCCCGGTTGGTGGTACCAACTGGGACTAAAGGGGGTCATTGGTCCCCGGGACTAAAGGGGGTCATTGGTCCCGGTTGGTGCCACCAACCGGGACTAAAGGCTTTGCTATATAAGGAAAATTTCAGAACCGCATCCCCACTTTGAT